AATTAATTCCCACATATTATAGTTCAATCATTGGAACGAATATTAACCACTTACAAACTCCTTCCCAGAAAAAAAATCTGCCGAACACTATCAACCTTACAATGAGCTCTTTGTTTGTCCATGTTAAAAATTATGGTTGTGACATATTATTATTTTTTTTTTGATTATCTGTGACATTAATTTGTTTGAGATGATTAAATGTGAGCTCTGTTTTGACATTATGAAACTTGATTGGAAAAGTACTGGTATATGTCGCTAATTAGTGAACAACGCAGGTCAATACTTAGGTCGCATAAATTTGTCATGGAGCATCGACGTAGATCGCTTTCATAACGTCCCTCTTTTATGTTATTTCTTACACAACAAGGTAGTAGCAGCCACAACATGTATAAGTTGATGAAAATGATGGAAATTAAAGTTCATGAGGATGATATGTTGATTGTGATAAATAAATTTATAGTTTCAGGTCGCCAGAAGTTGTTGGTTCATTTTTTTCGCATACCTTATGATTCGATTTGCTTCAAGCTGGATAGGAATGTAAAGTTGTACAATGCTATAACATGTGACATCTTATGCTTCTAGCTGAAGAACAAGATAAAGTTGTTGAATCCTATTACAAAACAAGAACCTAAATTAATTGGACCGTTTGAAGAATCAGAGAATCGCGGTGTATGGAGCATTGCATTTGACTACATAGTTGAACTTCAAAGGTACTACATTATATGCTTACAGGAACAGAAAGCAGATTATATGGTTGCTGTCACACTTTCTAGCAACCAGGAGGATGTTCTGTTGACAATGAACAAAGCAATTGCCGTTGGTCTTGTGTTGATACCGTACGTCCAAAAAATATTCTCCCACAAGGATTATTTGTTGGACATGTGGTGTACTGGCCAATAAATAAATTTATTCACAACGGCCAAGAGTCTCGAAATCAGCTTCTGGTTTCATTTGATACCCATATTTAAACTTTTGAAATCATTACATGTCCTCACGATCCATTCTGGAATGATTGTGATAAGTCGCCTATGTCAACTCAATATTTTGAATATGCAGGGTACACTATATCTGATGGATGAGGAATTAGTCTTCATGTCTCGGAAGTTCCATTTATGGGGTTTTCACCACCGTGGAAATGGTGATGGATATTGGACAAAAATGTACGAGGTCAGTTTAGAGTTTCAAGTTACAATTTGGTATAGTCAATTCCGTCAAAATTTCGATCATCCGTGGCATCAAGATTGGAACCTCATTTTAAATCCAAAATCTTCTCTCGGAGGCGAATTCATTCTATCGGGGTCCGATCATTTGCATTACTATTTGTACAAAACAACAGAAAATGACGGTTCTTTACGAATAGCCATTTCCCTGTATATGGTTATTCTATGGTAGCATTATGTTTTTTCAGTAAGAGTTTGATCAATATTTAGTTTCGATGGCAGCTTTGTAGTAAATTATGGGCCTTCGTACCATTTTATCATTGATTAGCATGATGTTGTTCTTGTATTTCTTTACTTTTCTTTTTAATATTTGTACTCCTATTTATTCAGATTTCAATGGTAAAAAAATTGTAATGAATAGTGCGTATTTTCAAATTCATGTATTTTCTGGGTCTGTTATGTGAATGCGATTGGATAGACAGACAAAAAATTCTCAATTTGCCATCCTTATATATACTATGAAATAGTCATCATTCACTCATGTAGTTTCATACTTGTAAAGTTTATAATTTTGTTCCTTTCTACATTTTATTATGAATCTGGCTCTTTCAATCTATAGCTAAGACTATATCAATCACCATTTCACCATTGTTTACTAAGGACCACCATGTTGGCACCTCATTGATCACTTTTTTGTCACTATATTCTAACATTTTGTATCATTAATTTGTAATATTCCATATTAATGTATTTCTTGAACGTTTCTTCTAACGTATGCTATTCAACTTGACATAATCCATGTTATATAATAACTACGTCAAAATCTGTGATCACTTCTTGAAAAAATATTTTTAAAGTGGTTGTTATTGGAGCAAGTGCAACTTTATTTAAAGAAGGAAACACTGTGAACTCCCCATATAGCATACTAAATGATTAATTTAAGCTTTGAATATTACTTTATTTTGAATTCTTTAAGATGTAATTGTAAAACTTTCATAACCTTATGTTTTTTTTTCTTAACCTTATGTTCATTATATTTATAACTACAATATGTTATTGCAGTTGTATGCAAAATTTGGAAATGTTACTTCACTGCAACCGACTAAACATATAAAACAACTTCCTGAAAAAGTAAGTTCATTTAAATAAATTACTGATAAAACTAAACAAACTGTAATAAATGGAAATACAGATTTTTGGAGACTAATTCCCTTAATAAAAAAAATTCGATAGTATATTCATAAAAAATTATTGAGTTGACATCCAAAAATATATCCAAAAAAAAAAGAGAAAAAAAAAGAAGAAAATAATTCATCAAAAATTCAAATTGTGACTGATCGATTCAATTACTATCTTCTGCACTCCTGTTGTAGTCGATACTGTATTTTATGAATTATTCCGGATGAACTTCGCAAAGTGTGCAATGTATATGTATTGTTTATGTATGATTCATTTCAAATGACTAGACAATATGCAGTAATTAAGGGTATTCATTACATACAATCTGATGCATGAATAATGGGTACCTTATTGGATTTAGGGAATATTAAATCATGTTTGACGTTGATGGTTGAAACTTCTTGTCAATTGGTTTGTAAAAAACCGTCAAATTAATTATTATCATGGCTCTTTAACTATTATTTATTATTAACTTTTATAATTAATACATTTGACAATCCCTCCGATTTTCCGATTTCATATTATTTCAATATCAAAAGAATTCTGAATGTTTCTTTTGTTCCAGGTGATTATTTACCAATTAAATACATACTTATAATCAGTACATTGCTGATGCATTTCATACTACATACATTGAATCGATATTCATGAACAGATCATTTGTATACCATTTTTTTTTAAGATTACTGCAGTCATTCATATAAAACATTTCTGTTTCAATTAATATATGTGATGTGCGTTTAATACGAATTTGTTGCATGACCTTTGGAATATAATCAAGTCAATAATTTATAGCGATTAAGTTCTTGAAATTAGAGTCTATATTAATTCCCTTTTACATTTAGTGTGCAGACCTTTAGAGAATTACAGGATATATATATATATATATATATCACTATTTCCTTACATTCAGCCAACATTTTATAAAAGTGCAGGCTATTATTCCTTTCCAATGGATCGTGATAATTCTTATGATGTTCGAGACCTAAAGGAAATTCTTGATTTGATCATTCGACGTATCAACCATCTTGAAGCAAATATTACTTCAGGATTAACTGCTATTGAAGATCGTATAATCTATTTCGAATTAAGTTTGCAAAAGATGGTGAATGAACGTGATCAGATTCAAATACGACTTGATAACTTGGAGGCACAGATGGAGTATTTCAAAACTCATGGTGGTCTAGTTAATTGTAGGAGTGACTAAAGTCAAATGAATCATTTGTAATGTATTTTTTGTTCTTCTTATTGTGTTTATTGTCATGGTTGTTATTGTATTCAGATTAATTAATATATTCGAGGTATGAAGTATAAGTGGATTATGTTTCATCCAAATTGTTTCATTACATCAATTATATCACTTATCATCTCTTTTTTAAATTTTAACCTAATATTTTTATACGACCCATCGGATTTGAATGTCTTGTATTAACTTTTTCTAACAAAAAAAAAAAACACAAACGACTTTTTAATTATGCATATTTTTCAAATGTATAGAACTTATTTGTATGTGCGATTTATTCATTTATACCTCTAATTCAAATTCAAATATAAACTATTATTAATTTAAACGGCAAACACCCAAAACAATCCCTGGATAGCCCATGGTTCCACGGGTTCTATCTAGTAATCAATAAACGGTGAACAAGATGTGGCACTAGTAACATCTATAAATAGATAAATGCTTATCAAGTCATGTTGAAAAGACCAAGTAAGGGATTAGTGAATCAATGACCAAAATCCATTTTGATTGATTAAAACTACTTCCCAGATAACACCCGCTGCCCTGATAGAGAAATCTTGTTTAATTTATATTTCAAAACGTAGCTGAAAATGTAATTTTGGGTTTGACAATATAACGTTGAATATCAACATAAACAGGCAACTCCAGCTGCAGAAATGGCAGTGAAATTTGATTGCAACAAAAGATAATTACACTTGAAGATGTGAACCGCAAACTCAAACATAAACAAGCTAAAATCACTGTGTGCCAACGGTGGTGGATTAGATTTCTATGGTATAATTCTGATCCAAACTTTGTTCATGTCGATCAGAGGCGTTGGCCAGCTTCGTAATTTTTCACCTGACCTAATATTCTTCGTAACCAAATGTTTTGCTATATTTATTAATTCTGCCGTAGAAGAGATTACTTTTTATCTTCTTGAGTTTGAATTCATTTGATTGTAATCTCGGTGTCTTTTTCGTTCTAAAAGCGCATATGTGATGCAAAGTGAACTGCTGAAACAAAAAACATTTAATGTTCGAAGTGTAAACTGATGAAAATGATTATTATTCAATTTATTCAATATATAACAGGCATAGAAGATCACAAATCAAATCACTTAATCAAGAAAGAGGTGATTGCATGGAAATGAATGCATAAAAAATAATACCTCTTCCCCCCAATAAACCACATATTGAGTTTTGAAATTTGTATTCAAAACTTATTGTGATTGTTTTTTTCTTTTGGGCAGAGTGAGTACATCATTATAAGCATAAGTAATTCATCAAGCATAGGTATTGATCAATCCATGAGGGAATTAGCTAATAATGTTGAATGATGGCGAGGTACTCAAGAATATCATTGAGTTTTGCAAGATCAACAGTAACAGTATCCACAGTGGCAATCCCACGAGCCAACCAAAATATTCTGGTACCTCCCTATATCGGCATTTCTCTATATTGATGAGATATGGGATTGTTCCCCAAAATGCTTAGTGAACTTCCATTGCAATATCCTTCTGTGAATACCAAATTGATAGCCATTGAAAGAACTTGCACGGTTTGACCTACAAAGGTGAACATGCCTTGAGCTCGGCCTACAAGTTTGGACTCCGGATCTGATCCAACAGTGATCGGAGCATCCATATTGTAGGTTGCTCCAAAAGCAATAGATGCTATATTGTTAGTGTTGGCTGGAACAACAAGAAGAGATGTTGGCTTATCAACTGTAACATTGTCATAGACAAAGAAATGGAGCTTGGTGAAATTGGGTTTTGCATGATGCTGAATGTGATCATGGAACCATTTCTCTACTATTTGAGGGGTGTTCTCGTGATCAACATTGTTAGCATCAACAACCAAAGAAGGAGCCATGATATCTATGTAGATAGAGTGTGATTGTGTTTTGTGAGTAGTTTTGAAGTGTTTCATGAAATGCTATGTTGAAGAGTTGTGTGATCTCTAAAGAGGATAAGAAAATACACTTATGTTCATAAAATCTTCCTTGATTTACATCATGTAGTGTAGGGAGATATATACATGATTCTGCTAATGGCTAGTGATTAGTTAAAAAAGTAGTATTATCTTTCAGTTTAATGGTTATTAATCTCAAAGATCTCTACTGATACATTCCTAGTCAATGATAAGATTTCTGGAATTTTCATCCAAATCATGTTGATTCTCTAATTGACCCACCATATCTTCTTAGGAATGTTCCCTGATTGCCGTGATTCCTCTCTTTCACATGCCCCCTCAAATTGGGGTGGGGAAAATGAACAACTCCAAGTTTGGTTTGTAGAGATTGAAATGCAGCTTTAGGCAATGGTTTGGTGTAAATATCGGCCAGTTGAAGCGTTGATGATATGTGGCGAGTAATAAGCTGACCCATTGCAACTTTTTCTCGAACAAAATGGTAATCCAATTCGATATGCTTCGAACGAGCATGGAAGAGAGGATTAACGGTCATATGCGATGCACTTAAGTTGTCACAAAATAGATGCGGAGGTTGCAGAAGAGAAATGCCAATATCTCGAAGTAGAAATGTGAGCCATGTGAGTTCCGCTGTTGCAGAGGCCATAGCACGATACTCAGCTTCAGAACTTGATCGAGAAACAGTCGGTTACTTCTTTGAACACCACAAAATACAATTAGCACCTAAAAATACACAAAAACCAGTTGTGCTTCGGCGAGTGATAGGGCAACCTGCCCAATCAGAATCGCTGAAAGCATAAAGAGAGATAGAACTTTGGCGAAGGAAACGAAGTCCATAATGTTGGGTACCCTGTAAATATCTCAAAATTCGTTTAACAGCCTTCAAGTGAGAAGTAGTGGGATTGGCAAAAAATTGACATATACGATTAATAGCATGGCAAATATCAGGTCTAGTAAATGTTAGATATTGTAAAGCACCAACAATACTACGATAAAATGTAGGATCAACATAATTTGAGTCATTAGATGTAACCTGATCCTTAAGAGCTAAAGGAGTGGCAAAAGGAGAGCTTTCATGCATCATTGAGCGAGCAAGGATATCTACTATATACTTACGTTGATGAAGAATTAGACCACTGGCAAATGGTTGGACTTCAATACCTAGAAAGTAATGGAGATCGCCAAGATCTTTGATAGCAAACTCACTACTAAATTGAGAAATTAGTTGTGTACTGAAAAGAATTTCCAGATAAAATTATATCATCAACATAGACTAAACATAAAACAATAGTAGAATGAGACTTGTAGACAAACAATGAAGAATCAGCCTTGCTACATAGAAAACCCAATTGAAGAAGGTATTGGGATAAACGATCAAACCAAGATCGTGGAGCTTGTTTCAAACCATATATAGATTTGCGTAGAAGGCAGACATAATATGAATGAGTAGCATTTTTTTTAACAAATCCTGGTGGCTGCTCCATATAGACAGTTTCTTTTAAATGGCTGTGAAGGAATGCATTTTTGACATCTAGTTGGCGGGTGGTCCAGTTAAGTAACAAGGAAAGAGCTATAACAAGTCGAATGGTAGTTGATTTAATTACGGGATTAAAGGTTTTAGCATAATCTAGACCTGATATTTGAGTAAATCCTTTTGCTACAAGACGAGCTTTATAACGATCAAGGCTCCCATCTTCTTTAGTCTTTACTTTATAGACCCACTTGGATCCAACAACATTAACCCCTTTTGGTCGAGGAACAAGTAACCAAGTTTGATTGTCATGTAGTGCTCGGATTTCCTAATGCATAGCATTCAACCATTGAGGGTCTTTCAACGCAGTTTTGATGGTTTTAGATTCCAGTGGAAGGGAAGGAGCGGTAGTAGCAAGTGTAGCATAATCCTTAAGGTAAGATGGGGAACGACGAGCACGAGGCAGAAGATTTATACAAGGTTCTGAAGAAGAAGGAAGAGCTTCTGTTTCTGTGACATGAGAGGGGGATGAATCAATTTGAGTTAGAGGTGGATAAGTTGAGTTTGGTAAATCAAGGAAGTGGAAGGATTGACTACTACCTACTTGGGTGGTGTCAGAATTGTGTTGCGGGGGGAGAGGATGGTTCATTTAGAGATAAATTTTGATTTGAGATATAATTTATAGGTTGTTCAGACGGTTGAGGAGACAAATGCAGTGCATTCAACTTGCTAATTTTCTCTTCAATTACTGGAGGTCCTGCAACTAGAGAGTTAGTACCACTAGTAGGGGATATAGAACTAGAAGTTGAATCATCGGAAGGAGATTTTATCCATTCATCTTGATTGGGATATTCAGAAAAAGTGTAAGAATGACCTGATTTTTTTTCTTTATCAGGTTTGTAATAAAAAATAGTTTCATCAAATATGACATGACGACTAATATAAACTCTATGGGACAAAGGTTCATAACACCTATACCCTTTATGAATTGGGCTATAACACATGAACACACATTGATATGTTTTCTTAGTAAATTTTGATGCATTTTGATATCTAAGAGAAGGGAAACAAAGACAGCAAAAAACACGTAAAAATGAATAATCAGGATGATAATTATACAATTTAAAAATGGTGTTTCATTATGCACAGACGAGGGCAAACGGTTTATTAAATATGTAGCAATCCAAAAGGACTCCACCCAAAAATTTAATGGCATGTTAGCATAAAAAATCATTGTGAGAGCTGTTTCAACAATATGGCGATGTTTTCTTTCTGTAACTCCATTTTGTTGAGGAGTTCCTGGACAAGACATATGCAATTCAATTCCATTTAACTGAAGATGCTCAATAAATCTATTGGATGTAAATGCTCCTCCACCATCACATTGAAAAAACTTAATTTTTTTATTAAACTGATTTTCAACTAGCTTTTGAATCTAATAAAATAATCGAAAAAATCTGATTTTTTCTTTAGTGGGTAGAGCCATGTAAAACGACTAAAATCATCAACAAAAATCACATAATACCAAAAAATTTGCTTTGAATTTATGGGAGCTGGTCCCCAAATATCACAATGTATTTTTTCTAAAGGAAAAAGTGAAACCTTGTTATTTCTTTGAAAAGGAAGCTTACAACGTTTGCCTTCTTGACAACTTACACAAATAGTGTCTTTAATCCACTGAGAAAAAGTTATAATGATCTTAGAAGATAACAAAGACAATAATTTATCATTCGGATGACCAAGCCTAAAATGCCAAATTGTAGAAGAATCCTTGTTATTCTTAAAAGCCGTTAAGACCACATTTAAGCCATCACCAAGTGCATAGAGATTTCCCTTTTTATGCCCCCTCGCTACAACCTTCTTGTTTTTGTCCTTCATCAAATAATCAGATGAGGAGAATTCAATTGTACAAGCATTATCAGATGTAAACTTCCCAACAGAAAAAAAAAAATTCTTTTTTTATATCAGGTACGTAAAGAACATCATGCAACTTCAAATTTCCATCTTTAGTTTTAACAAAAGCATCACCAACATGTGAGATCGGCAATCCAGTACCATCACCAACATAGATTAAATAGTTTCCTTTGTAATGTTTTGGTGAATGTAAAATACCTGGATTGTTTGTGACGTGTGCCGTTGCACCAGAATCGGAGTAGAACGTTGGATCCGTTTCGGAGTTCAAGTGAAAAGAAACTAATGCTTGTGGTAACTCCTCCGATTGATATGCATAATCAAACCTATGCCAGCAATCAACAGCAACATGGTTAGGTTTGCGACAAATTTGACAAGTAATTTTACCAGTATCATCATTTTGCCATGATTGATTAGATGATGGTTGAGCATCAAGTCCGTTGGTTCTGTTTGATGTGCTTCCACCATTCAACTTTGGAGCATATTCTGTCTTCTTTGGATAATGACCCTTGTCTTGAGGCCCTTTGAATAATGTATACATGCCACTATTATATCTTCCTGCCGGAGTGAAGCCGCAGCCTCGAAATGTAAATCTGCCACCGTTTCGGCCACCACGACCACGACCCCGTTGGCTAAAAAAGGCTTGTGCATGCTCCATGTATTTATTCTCTTCTTCGCGGCTTGCTCTCAAGGTTTTCTCATCACTTTGTAAAGCCAACAAAAATTATTGAAATGTGGACAACAGAGGCTTACTAAGCATGGCAGTCCGAAAGTCTAGATATTGACTCCCAAGACCGCTTGCGAATTGGAATACTTTGTCAATATCTAAAACTTGTTTTTGAATCGCTGCAAGGTTATCACATATACCTTTGAATTCCTTGTGATAATCTTCCAAAGAACGATTCCCCTTTTTGATTCCCATAAGAAGGCGCTTCAAGTTGCTTTCCTTCTCGACAGCTTTCGGTAGGAGATGTTGCTCAAGTGTGTTCCAAACCATGAAGGCATCAGAACTTGCATACCCATCACTAATCCAATTGCCTCATTCATGGTCCCAAGCTACCAAGAAGTGAGTAGGCCGTCATTGATTTTCCAAATCTGAAATCGTTTATTTTCGACTTTATCGATTGATTCTTCTGGCTTTGTGTCGACCACCAAATGGTGATAGACTCCCAAGCTTTGAACTAACAAAGCAATTTGTGAACGCCACATAAGATAATACGTCATATTGAGTTTAATTGACACGAGACTAGAACATTGATGAAAAGATTGAATAGTAAGTTCGGGTTCTTCTTTGGGAAGAGAAAGAGATGGAGCCATTTTTTAGAGTAATTGGTAACTGGAAGAACTCACAAGTGTAGGCTCTGATGCCATAAAGAGGATAAGAAAATACACTTGTGTTCATAAAGTTTTCGGTGATTTACATCATGTAGTGTAGGGAGATATATACATGATTCTCCTAACGGCTAGTGATTAGTTAAAAAGGTAGTATTATCTTTGAGTTTAATGGTTATTAATTTGAAAGATCTCTACTGATACATTCCTATTCAATGATAAGATTTCT